GAGGGGTGGGGTAGGGGTACCCCGCATGGTTACCATCGGTCGTATTTTCTTTCCTTTTACTCGCTCCCCCCCTTCAGTATATATAATGATATTATAATATATATATACTTATTATGTTTGTCTGTCTCGCTCGCCCATTCTCTTCACCCCTCCTCTTTCTTCCTCCTCGCTTTCTCTGTCTCTACCTCTCTCTCTCTCTTTCTCTATCTCTATCTCTATCCCTAACTCTCACTCTCGCTCTCTTTCTCTCTCTCTGTCTCTCTATCTCCCCTTACTCAATAGCTCTGACTAGGTCTCTTACTCACCTTCTCTCTCTCCCTCTCTCTTCTTCTATTTTTTCTTTTCTCCCCTATTATGTCGTTCTGTTTGTCTGTCTTGCTCGCCCTCTCTCTTCCTCCTCGCTTTCCTCTGTCTCTACCTCTATCTCTCTTTTCCGTCTCTCTGCTAATTATCTTTCTTTTTAATCATATTATGACACATAATAATTAATATTGCGTGCGTGACCCCGTGTGTGTGTAAAGAGAAGAGGAGGAACGGATGAATGGATGGATGGATGGATGGATGGATGGATGGATGGATGGATGGATGGATGGATGGATGGATGGATGGATGGATGGATGGATGGATGGATGCATGCATGCATGCATGCATGCATGACTGGGATGGATGGATGGATGGATGGATGGATGGATGGATGGATGGATGGATGGATGGATGGATGGATGGATGGATGGATGGATGGATGATAGATGGATGGATGGATGGATGGATGGATGGATGGATGGATGGATGGATAAGTGGTTATATAATAGATACATATAAGTGCTAGAGAGAGAGAGAGAGAGGGGTGAAGGAAGAGCGGGGAGGATGAGAGTGAGAGAGACTTATACACAGACATAGTAAGAGAGAAGGAGAGAGAGCGCGCGCACACACGCTCCCACACGCATATCACACGTACGCACGCACACACGCGCGCACACTCACACGCCCCGCCTACACACACACGTCCCGCCTACACACGCACACACGCACGCGCGCTCACATACACACACTTCGTCCCAAAGAAAGAGAGAGAGAGAGAGAGAGAAAGCAGAGAGGAGAGAGAGAGGGACAGGAAGGGAAAGAGAGACCAGAATGAAAGAAAGCTACAGAGGAGTTCTAGACAAATATATTGAGAAAGGGTGGCGAGTGGCCGAGAGAATGGGAAGCGGACACAGAAACGCGTGCACGCAAGCACCCACGCACGCACGCACGCGCGTACGCACGCACACATACTCGTCTACCCTTCAATCAATCTATCTATCTATCAATCTATCTATCTATCTATCTATATGTCTGCCTGTCTGTCTGTCGGTCGGTCGGTTCGTCCGTCCGTCCGTCCATCCATCCACCCATATATCCATCAATCCACCCATCTATCCATCCATCCATTCTTCTATCTATCGGTCTGTCTGTCCGCCCGTCCGTCCATCCATCCATCCATCCATCCATCTATATTATATACAACTTCCCAATTTATCGCGNAATTAGCTTGTGACTAGGTCTTCAGTACTCAGGCCCTTTCTACTCTCTCTCTTGCCTTTTCTATGTGCCTTACTGGCCACTCTGTCGCCGCGTAGCTTGTGATAGGTCTTTCTACACCGATCGATTGATCTCTACCCATCTTCTTGTTTTATATTTTATTTTGCTCTCCTACTTATGTACGTTCTTTTGTTGTCTTGCTGCCCCTCTCTCTTCCTCCTTCGCTTTCGCTCATGCTGCTCTACTCTATCTCATCTTTCCGGGTAGTGTCTGCTAATTGAAATTTTCTTTTTTTATCATATTAATGACAATAATTAATAATATTGCGGTGCGTGACCCGTGATGTGTGTAAAGAGGGAAGAGGAGGAAATAGATAATGGATGATGGTGGATGATGGGATGGATGGATGGAATGGAGGGATGGACTCGGACGACGGACGGAGACGGACGGACGGAGGACGGATGATGGATGGAATGAATGGATGGATGGATTGATGGATGATGGGATGGAAGGGATGGCATGGAATGCGATGGATGGATGGTGGATGGATGGACTAGATGGATGATGGATGGTGATGGATGGATAGTGGATGGATGGAATGGATTTGGATTGGATGAATGGATAGGAGGATGGTGGATGGATGGTGGATTGGATGGATAGGATGGATGGATGGATGGATGGATGGATGATATGGATGGATGATGGATGGATGGTGGATGATAAGTGTTATATAATAGATACATATAAGTGCTAGAGAGAGAGAGAGGGGTGTGAAGGAAGAGCGGGGATGATGAGAGTGAGAGAGACTTATACACAAACATAGTGAGAGAGAAGGAGAGAGAGAGAGAGCGCGGCGTCAGCACCAGCAATGCCCAAGCATTATCACACGTAGTACGACACGCTAGGCACAACGCGGGCAATGCCCCCGACAACACGTCAGCCTACACATCTCACACACGCACACACGCACGCGAGCACACATGCACACACTTCGCCTCAAAGAAAGAAAGAGAGAAAGAGACAGAGCAGAAAGGAGAGGGACAGAGAGGGAACGAGAGAGCCAGAATGAAAGAAAGATACAGAGAAAGAGAGGGAGAGCTCGAGCAATAGATACACAGAAAGAGGGAGGAGAGAGAGAGTGAGGGCAAATTGAAGAGAGAGGGAGAGAGTTCTAGACAAATATACTGAGAGAGGGGGGCGAGTGGCCGAGAGAATGGGGAGCGTACACAGAAACCCACGCACGCACGCGCGTACGCGCGCACTACGCATGTACGCACGTACGCACGCACGTACGCACGCATGCACGCACGTACGCACGCACGCACGCACGTACGCACGCGCGCGCACACATACACATCTACCCTTCAATCAAACTATCTATCTATATGTCTGTCTGTCCGTCCGTCCGTCCGTCCATCCATCCATCTATATTATATATATATTACACTTCTTCTCCCCTCTCTCTCACACTCTCTCTCTCTCTCTTCCCCCATCTCTCTCTCAATAAGTCTAGATCTCTCTCCTTCCCAATCTCTTTCCACCACTTTCTCCGTCTTTCCTCTCATCTATCCCGTCCATTTCTCTGTGCACCTGTTGCTCTTTTTCTAAATAATATTATTGCGTTTAACATTAATTATAACAGTATAGAATAATATTTATTAGAATTATACATTACAAATATCATAATTACTTATGTGTGCGTTGTGTCCGTACGCGCGCGTTTCTACGCCCGGTCCTTCTCTCACTCACTCTCTCTCTCTCTCTCTCTCTTCTCTCTCTCGCTCTCTTCTCTTCTCTCTCTCCCTCTCTCTCTCTCTCTCTCTCTCTCTCTCTTCTCTCTCTCTCTCTTTCTTCTCTCCTCTCTCTCTCTCTCTTTCTCTCTTCTTCTCTCTCTCTCTATTCCTCGCACGCGCGTTCTCTCTCCATCTCTTGCCTGAGCTCTCTCTCTCTCTCTCTCTCTCTATTCTCTATCCCTAGCTTCTCGCGCGCTCTCTCTTCTCTCTTTCATTATCTCTCTCTCTCTTTCTCTCTCTCTCTCTAACCTAGCTTATCCTGCGCGCGCTCTCGTCTCTCTTTCTCTCTCTCTGTCATCTACTCTATCTCTATCTCGTATCCTAGCTCTCCTCTCTCTCTCTCCCTCTTCTCTCTCTCTCTCTCTCTCTCTCTCTCTCTTCTCTCTTCTCGTATAATCTCTCTTTTCTCTCTCTCTCTTCTCCTCTCTCTCTCTCTCTTTCTCTCTCTCTCTCTCTAACTATTGCCTACTAAATAATACTTTGACAGTACTTTCATAAAATTTATTATTTAGCACACGTTTATTTAAACCGTGAGGGCTACTCCTCACCGCACGTACGCCGCCGGGCTTCCGCTCGCGCTGCGCGTGTGGTGTCGTGTTGCGTGGCGTGCGACGCTGCCGAGTTGTGTGTGCGTGCGGTGCGTCGCGCGGTGTGGTCTGTGATGTATGCGCGCGACCGGAATTTGTGTCGCGCGCGCGCATGCTGTGACCCTGTGTGTGTGTGGTGTGTGTTGTGTGTGTGTCTGTTGTGTGTGTGTGTTGTGTGTGTGTGGTGTGTTGTGTGTGGCTGTGTGTGCTGTGTGTGTGTGTGTGTGTGTGTGTTGTGTGTGTGGTGTGTGTGTAAAGAGGGGGCAGAAGATAGATGGATGGATGGATGGTAAGGATGGATGGAATGGACGGATGTTATGGATGGATGGGATGGATGAATGGATGATGGATGATGAGGGTATGGCATGTGGATGGATGGTGATGCGACGATGGATGGATGATGGATGATAAGTGGTATATATTAATAGATACATATAAGCTGCTAGAGAGAGAGAGAGATGCGGGGGTGAAAGAAGAACGGGGATTGATGAGGTAGGAAGACGAGATTATACACAAAACATAGTGAGAGAGAAGGATTATTGAGAGAGACGAGCATGCGCGCACATCACGCCCCCACACGGCAGTTATCACACGCTTACGCACACACACGTTTCCACCTAAACACACACGTCCGACTACATACACGCACACACCGCAACGCGCGCACCATACACACACTCGTCTCAAAGAAAGAGAGAGAGACGAGAGAAGCAGAGAGAGCTGCTGATATGAGAGAGAGAGAGAGAAAGAGAAAGCAGAGAGGAGAGAAGACAGAGAGTGACAGAAAGGGAAAGAGAGACCAGAATGAAAGAAAGATACAGAGAAAGAGAGGGAGAGCGCGAGCAATAGATACACAGAAAGAGGGAGGAGAGAGAGTGAGGGCAAATTGAAGAGAGAGGGAGAGAGTTCTAGACAAATATATTATATATTGAGAGAGGGGGGCGAGTGGCCGAGAGAATGGGCAGTGGACACAGAAACCCACGCACGCACGCGCGTACGCACGCACACATACTCATCTACCGTTCAATCAATCTATCAATCTATCTATCTATGTATCTATGTATCTATGTATCTATCTAGCCATATTATATAATATATATATATGAAATGCATACATACTTTTCTAACTAATCAATCAATCTATCTATACATCCATATCCCTTATCCATATTCGTCTATCAATCCATCCATCCATCCATTCATCCATTCATCCATCATCCATTGTCTCTCGGCCCCTGTCTCCCGCGCAGCTGCAAGATATCAACGACCCCCCATCGTGGCACGCCGACCCCATCTTCACTCAAATGAAGGCACGCCATGCATGAAATGGCTGCGATTTCAAACCGTCACCGCGCACTTTTGCATCGCAAACTATTCCCGTCTACATTCATCGATAATGAGCTTTGTTCCCTGCGTTTATATCGCTAAATCGCCCAATCTGCATTATATTGCGTACGCGACTTTTTCGCGTCTGTTTTGTTTGTTCGTACGTTGATCGCTGTCGGGCGCCTTCTATTATGAATACGAACGCCAGCGTCATCGCTGTGATCACCGACTCACGATCAATGCACCATATTGACACGACGACCGGACCTAAAGGACAGACAATTCGTGACAACGAGACGTTTGTTTGGAGCCGATCAAACCGGAATCGATCGCTCGCCGCAGAGACGCTCGTTGTATTGTTATCAATGACGTCAATCTAATCAGGTTTTGGTCACCGCGCCGGCTACTTAAGAGTAGAGTGAACACGCATGTTTAGTTTGCAGTTGACCACGAGCAAAAAAATCTCTGGTCAGATACGCAGCCGTCATCTCAAGCAAGAAATCTCCAGCAAGATGCAGGTCGTCATAGTAACGGCGCTGATCCTCAGCTTGGTATTGCAAGGTAAGCTAGATGGTTTATTTTCTACTCTTTACTTTCGCACGTGCCGTACACGTGCTTACGTAGCGATGAGGAGATTTGTATGCGTACTATCTCGCAACCACCACCTAACATAAGTGTACATTATGTACATCAACATTAGCACTAGGACGTGTATGTGTTCGTGTGCATGCGCGCACGCGATGCAGTTCATGCCTAGTTAACAGAATATATTACATAGTATTAATTTCTTCTATGTGATTGTTTATCTCTGCAATACGATGTCTATTCAAATCTTGTTTGTCCCTTCACATTGCATGTTTATATATGCCTGCACGAATTACCATCGTAGTCTTTTTAGGAATTCATTCCTGATTCAAACCCTTTCGTGATTGTGACTCATTCGTGTTCAGTGGGTGCTGACGCCCACGATTGCTCTCTCTTGTTTCCCCTTCCTCGCTCGCTTGGCTTGCTGTTCCTCTGTTGCTCTTTCTGTCTCTCGCTCACAAACAAACATGCATTCACTATCGCTCATTCCCTCGCTAGCTCATTTCCTCTCCCTCCCTCGCTCATTCGCTGCTCTCGCTCTCTTTCGTCCTCTCTCTCGCGCGCGCTCTCTCTCCCATGCTAGTTCATTCCACCAGCTCTATCGCCTGTGTGTGTGTGTGTGTGTGTGTGTGTGTGTGTGTGTGTGTGTGTGTGTGTGTGTTGGTGTGTGATGTGTGTGTGTGTGTGTCGTGTGTGTGTGGTGTGTGTGTGTGTTGATAGTGTGTGTGTGTGTGTGTTGTGTGTGCTGTGTTGGCTGGTGTGTGTGTGTGTGTGTTGTGTGTGTGTGTGTGTGTGTGTGTGTGTGTGTGTATGTGTGTTTGTGTACTAATTTGTACTACATACACGCCTCCCCAATTGTATGCGCTCGATAATTTAGAAGTGATAACGTCACGGAGCATAATCGACCCATTCTGTTGTATAAACACGTCAATGAGTGAGATAATACGATTTATCTAACGGGTATATGTAATCCAATTTCAGTTACCTACGGTAATGACTATGGGACCAGAACAAGGAGACCACACCGTTACTATGGTTACAACCATAGAACAACAACAACAACGGAGAGACCGCGACATTACTATGGCTACCACCACGGAACAACAACAACAACGGAGAGGCCGCGACATTACTATGGCTACCAGCACGGAACAACAACAACAACGGAGAGGCCGCGACATTACTATGGCTACCAGCACGGAACAACAACAACGGATAGACCGCGACATTACTATGGTTACCACCACGGAACAACAACAACGGATAGACCGCGACATTACTATAGCTCTCATAATCGACGAAGTTATCCAGATTATAGATACAGGGGTTACCAAAACGTATATAATCGCAAATCGTCACGCCGCTATTAGAGTTAGCGACATGACACTAATAGATCACCGCTCTACTAACGTCACATCGTAACACGACCACACAGACACAAATTACAGTGACGGAAGAGCATTACCGTGCTCTCAGACTAATCTATCTGGATGCGAAACATCTGAATATCCAACATTGAACCGACGCACGATTCTTTTTCTTACTTTTGTTTCGTGGTGCCCTTATTGTCATCAAATGTGACGTACAGCAGACTGTATACATTTGTGCACCGATTTGGCTGCACGCGCATCGTTATGGTCTAGTTGCTTTTCTCGCAATTTTCGACCACATTAACGGATACGCTATTTTCGTGTATGTACGTAGTTGATATGCTTACATTTGATGCAAATATGTTACCGACCTAAGTCATACTTATGTGAGTTCCTATAACTAACAAAAAATAATATTTTCGTATCATCGCACTCAAATGTCTTTTCACGTCGAAAAATATTTTATGTCCTTGTTCCGCATAAGAAAATGCTGTTATTATTGTTCTTTATGCAGCTAACCATGTTCATGCTTTCTTCGAGAAAATACCAGTAATATGTACATGTACGCAAGTAGACCTTATATGTAAAATAAAAAACAAATTCTTCACCATATGATTTGGATATATTTGTTGTATTATATAATTCCCTTATACTTAGGCAGTTAAACTTGCATAAATCAGGAAGGGGTCCAAGTCCCTACGCTTGACATCTAGCATACTCTCGTGTTTCACACTGACACCTGGAATTCTGGCGAACCCGGAAGTCGTATCTAGCGTACGTTCACATAAACAACACATGACGATGGCCACATATTCTCATTAATATTTGCAAGGTGCCTAGTTTTCTCTAATTTCCCTATACTATCTGTGTACTCGCACGTCCAGCATCGGTGAAGGGAAATACAATTTCGTTGAAATTTTCATTTAAAGTAGGTAGCACATACACACGAGTATTTTTAATTTGAGTACTCGCGCAACTTTTCCCTGTGACAATTATAAGGCGTCACAATCTACATTGCTTATAGTGCGGCTTCGCTTAAAAGTTCAAAGCCATGTGCACCCTACCTACCAAAATACGGATTCAATAAAATCCCGTGTCTCGTATATATATATATATATATATATATATACTATATATATATATACTATATATATGTGTGTGTGTTGTCGTGTGTGTGTGTGTGTGGTACACCGTGTGTCGTGTGTCTGTGTGTGTGTGTGTGTTGTGTGCTGTGTTGCTGTGCCTGCCATGTCGGTGTGCCATTGGTGATGTGTGTGTGTGTGTTTGTGCTGTGTTGTGTGTGTGTGTGTGTGTGTGTGTGTGTGTGTGTGGTGTGTGTGTGTTGTGTTGTGTGTGCTGGTGTGTGTGCTGTGCTGGTGTGTGTAAACAGAGGCGCAACGAATTAGATTAATAAAGCGCAGCGATGATCGATGAGGATGGATGGATGGATGGTGCGCATGGATCGAGCGATGGATGGATGATGATGGCATGGAGCGATGGATAGCATGAGATGGTATGCTATGGATGATGATGGATGATGGATGGATGTATGCGCATGGTATGATGACTATGGAGGACGATTGCGTGGACGAATGGATAGATGATGGTTGATGGTATTGGATGCGATAGGATGGGATGATGGCATGGATATATGGATGATTGCGATGTATGGATAATGGCGATGGCGGATGGATGGATGGATGGCATGTATGATGCGATGATGGAGGATGGATGGATGCCGATCCGATGCATGGCATGGCAGGTTATGGATGGATGGATGGATAAGATGATGAATGATGGATGGATGAGATGATTGATGGATGGATGATGATGACGGATGATGGACGGATGTCGTGACGCAATGATAAGATGATGTGGATGATGATGATGATGAGGATATTAATGCGAGATGGTCATTAGATGGATGACATGATGATGGATCTATGGATGGATGATGCATGCACTGCGATGATGATGGATGATGGATGCGATGGCATGGATGATGATGATGACGTGATGGCATGCATGAATGGATGGATGGAGGATGGATGCATGGATGGATGCCGATGATGCCATTGCATGATAAGTTGCTTATATATAATAGATACATATAAGACGCTAGAGAAAGAGGCGTTCGTGAAGAGAAGCGGCGATGATGCATGAGAGTGTAGCCAGAGACTTAATACACAAACATACTGAGAGAGAAGGAGCAGAGAAGACGACGAGCGCGCCACATCACGCCCCCACACGCATATCACAGCTGCCACGCACGCACCCACACACCGCGCGCACACACACGTCCCGCCTAAACACACGCGTCCCGCCTTATCACACACGCACAACACGTACGCGCGTACACATTACACATACACACACTTCGTCTTCAAAAAAAGTAACATGAGAGAGAGAGTCAGAGAGCCGAAGCAGAGAGGACACAGCAGAAGAAAGAGAGCAAGAGCATGAAAGAAAGATCAGGGAAAGAGAGTGGAGAGCGCGCGAACGCAATAGATACAACAGAAAGAGGGAAGAGAGAGCAGTGCAGGGCCCAAAAATTGAAGAGCAAGGGAGAGATCTTCTAGACATAATATTATCAGCAGCAGGGGGCGAGTGGCGACGAGAATGACAGCGGACACAGAAACCACGCACGCACGCGCGTCACCCACGCACGCACGCTACGCACGCACGCACGCACGTAAGCACCATGCACGCGCACACATACACATCTACCTTCAATCTATCTATATGTCGTCGTCTTCGTTCGGTACGATCCGTTCCCCTCCGTCCGTCCGTCCGTCCGCCCCGTCATCCATCCATCCATCCATCCATCCATCCATCCATCCATCATCCATCCATCCATCCATCCATCCATCCATCCTTCTATCTATTTATCTATCTATCGGTCTGTCTGTCCGTCCGTCCGTCCGTGCATCCATCCATACATCTATATTATATATATATATATATATATATAATTATATATATATATATATATATATTATATATAATCAAATAATGTAATACGTGTTCGTGTGCAAGAAAAGTGCGCGAGTTTCTGTACACTTCCTCCCCTCTCTCTCTCTCTCACACTCTCTCTTTCTCTCTCCCCCTCTCTCTCAATAAGTCTAGATCTCTCGCCTCCAATCTCTTTCAACCTCTTTCTCCCTCTTTCCTCGTGTGTGCGTTGGTCCGTACGCGCGCGTTTCTACGCCCGGTCCTTCTCTCACTCACTCTCTCTCTCTCTCTCTCTCTCTCTCTCTCTCTCTCTCTCTTTCTCCCTCTCTCTATCCCTATCCCTAGCTCTCGCGCTCTCTCTCTCGCGCGCTCTCTCTCTCGCTCTCTCTCTCTCTCTCTCTCTCTCTCGCTTCGCTCTCTCATTCTCTCTCTCTCGTCTCTCTCTCTCTCTCTCTCTCTTCTATCTCTATACTCTATCTCCCTAGCTCTCTCTCTCTCTCTCTCTCTCCCTCTCTCTCTCTTCTCTCTATCCCTAGCTCTCTCTCTCTCTCTCTCTCTCTCCTCTCTCTCTCTTCTCTCTCTTCTCGTCCGCCTCTCTGCTTAATATAGCTTATCTTTTATGAATCATTATTATGCACACATAACAGTTATTAATAACTATAAATAATACTTGTAACATACTCATGAAATGCTATATTAGCACGCCGCTTATATTTAAACACGTGAGGGCATAGCTCCTCACCGCAGCGTAGCCGCCGGTTCAAGCTCGCGCTCCGCGTGCAGTGTGCGTGTGCTAGCGTGGTGGCGCGGCGTGTGTCGCCGTGCCCAGCCTGCTGGCTGCGTAGCGTGCCCAGTTGCGCGCGTGCGTGCGCGCGTCTGTGTCTGTTGCTGGTCGAGGCGCCGGGGTATTTGTCTTGCGCGGCGATACGCACGACCTGCTTTGACCCCTGTCTGTGTTGTGGTGTGGTGTGTGTGTGTGTGTGTGGTGTGTGTGTGTGTTTGTGTGTGTGTATGTGTGTGTGTGTGTGGCGTGCTTGTAAAGAGAGACGACCCGAATATCATAGACGCAGATGGATGGAGGGATTGATGGGGATGATCGATACGCGCACGGACGGACGCACGGACACGACCGACGACGCACTCGACGTCTTGGCAATGCGATGGAGCGATGGCATCGCATGGCTATGGATGCATGTATGCATGATGGCCATGGATGATGGAGATGGATAGTCATGGATGGATGGCATGCACATGGCAGGATGGAGATGATGATGGATGATGATGGCATCATCCGCACTCAACACACCTCGAAAAACATTTTATTCCTTGTACCGCATAAGATTAAATGCTAGTATTATTCTTCGTTATGCAACTAACCAGTTCAGCTTTCTTCGAGAAAAAACCAGTAAAATATGCTACATGCTACGCAAGTAGACATTATATGTTAAAATAAAAGAACATAAAATTCTTCACCATATATTTGCGCATATATTTCTTTGTATTATAATTAATTCCCTTATACTTAGCATTCAACTTGCATAAATCAGAAGGGTCCAATTAAGTTCCTACGCTGACATCTGCATACTCTCGTGTTTCACACTGACATCCTGGCAATTCTATGCAAAGCCTGCGAATCGTATCTAGCGTACGTCACATAAACAACACATGATGATGGCCACATATCTCATTAATATTTGCAAGCGAGCCTAGTTTTCTCTAATTTCCCATAATACTATCCATCTACTGCGCATGTTCCAGCATTTCACGGAAATACAATCGTTGAAATTTTAATTTAAAGTGTAGCACATTACACACGCCAGTATTCTTGAATTGATTACTCGCGCAACTTTATCCCGTGTAACAATATAAGACGTCAAAACCTTACATTGCTTATAGTGCGCGCTTCGCTAAAAAGCTTCAAAGCCCATCGTGCACCCACCTACCAAAATACATCGCTAACGCATTCGGGTAGATAACGGCGTAAAACAAATTTTGACCACGTGTTTCGTCATTTATTCCGCGTACTCCCTATAGAAATATATGGAGACACTAATAAACTAGTAATTATGTTCCATGTCTCCCCAGTCAAAGCGCCGTTCAAAAAATTAACTTTAACAATGCTTTCTGAGTTCGCCATTTCTCAGTGCCGACCAACGCCCTCGCTTCATGTTTAGCTACGCTGCTTGTCTCTCCCATCAAGCCTAACGCCGTTCAATAAAATCC